TTATTGATTTTTTTTTTTTTTTTTTTTTTTTAGAGAGGAAGACAGAGGGATAGAAAGTTAGAAACATCAATGAGCGAGAAACATCGATCAGCTGCCTTGGAGATGTGCCGGCAACCAGGGTACATGCCCTTGATAGGAATCAAACCCGGGACCTTTCAGTCCGCAGGCCGACGCTCTATCCGGAGCCAAACCGGTTTCAGCCGGGGTCCACTTTAAAAGGTAATAATGACATATGTATTAATCAAGAACATATCGAGTTTATAAACGTATTTGTGCTTTATAATAATAAGCTTAAAATATATAAAATAAAAGTTCGAAACAACTAAACAAGAAGCCGGTAAAACTATGTCTTATGACATTTTCAACCACAATAGAAAACAAGCTATAAAGAAAAATTTCCCCGTTCGCCACAATGGGCGAACTGCAAGCTTACGCCGCTAGCTCCTCCATCTTGTTCGTAGGCCATTTTGTCCACCGAGGGCCAATGGGTGTGCTTGTTTTTAGAATCTCAATACTTGGTACCTCGTGCTTCATTCCCCCCACCCTCCCCCCCAACCGCCAATATGTTACTGTTATGTAAACTGTAACATATTGCCAACTCACGTGTCTCTCGGATCCAATCATTTGCTTGGAATCAGACATCTAGAACTTTCTTGGAAGCTCTCGAGGTCTTAAGTGGGGAGAACTTCCGAGATTCCGCCCTTTGGCTGCTGGCTGCCCAGGAGAGGTGAGCTCTCGAGCTCCGGAGTCGTCCATCGAGGCCTAGAGGGTAAGGCCCCCCTGAGGCAGGGAGTAGGTGGGGACTCCTCAGCTGAAACTGGGGGGTGGGCCCCTGGAAAAGGCGGTCAGGGAGAAGGGGTACAGGAGCAGGAGCCAGGAGCCGGCCGTAGGACGGGCTACCGACTGAGGGGAGTCCACAGGGTGGGTGCCGCTGGCTTCAAGGCGGGTAGGTGGCGGCTCTCTCGTGTGGGACGGCGGTGAGTTGGAGGACAGGGTGTGGAAGGCAGGCCTCCCCAATGTTGGGGTGGGGGGAATGACCGTGCTTTGAGGACTATGGAGTGGAGCGACGGTTGGAGGTCGGCCGTTGGGGTCTCTACCGAAGAAGGGCTGCTGGCTGCGGACGGGTGGGTGTGGGGCAGGCACATGGCTCCCGGCGCCCCGACGGGAGGGAAAGACTAAAGTGGTGAAGAGAGAACCAAGGTGGGGCAATGGGGGGGGGAACCTTGCGAGTGGGGGTGAAGAGAGGGCTAGTAGCCAAGGTGGGACAATGGGGTGGAACTTTGCGAGTGGGGAGCTTCCACGGTGCGTGTGAGAAGGGCGGAAGGGAGAACAATGGCCGCCGCGTGGAGAGAGCTGATCCTGCCCTCGGTGTAGAGAGCTGCGGCCGGCGGGCGGGCTTCCAGCCCCATCGCAAGTAGGTGGGAAGCGGGGGGGGGGGGGGGGGGGGGGGTGGTGGCGGGGGGGGCGCTCCAGGCTTCCGCGTGGCGAGGCGGAGAGGCGGGGAGGGAGGGGCTCCCTGGTGAGGGGAGGCTAGACGGGACCGCGTGTCCTATGTCGTGAAAGCACATGGCGCACTGCTTCTCGGACCCCAGGAGAGGAGGACTGGCTGCCGGTAAGGAGAATATGGGGGGCACGGGGACCAGTGAGAGGGCTCCCAGTCGTGAGGAGGCCAGAGGGGGAAGGCTACCGTCTAAGAAAGTGGGGGCGCTCTGCTGCTAAAGGCGAGCGCCATCACGCGGCTCCGGGCGGGGCGGGGCGGGGCACAGCTTAGCTGGGCGGGAGATAGTGGCGCCCCCTACGTCCAGGGAGGGAATAGGCCGCAAGATAGAGCCACTGGCTGAGGGCGGGAGCGGAGCCGGAGCCGGCTGGCTGGTGGGTTGGATATTGAAAATGGAGTCATCGGCAATGGCGGCGGGGTGGGGGGAGGGGAGCGGCTCGGAGTGGAGCTGTACGGTTGGAATCTGAAAGACCATGAGGGGGATTGCAGTGTCGAGAAGGACAATGCCTTGGCTTCCATAGAAAATGTAGATGCTTTACAAGGTTGCTTTGTACATTTACCCACATACACGGTACACCGGGCCGTAAAAGTGTCCGTAAATTTAAAATGATTGTGTTTTTACTTAATACATTTTCTTATTTTATTTGAAGTTAATTTTATTTGAAATAATTTTGAATTTTATTTGAAATTAATTATGATAACACATCTCTAAATATTTGGAAATAAATATTTGGGTCAAAGACAATCATAAAGGAACTTAGAAAATATTTCATGCCTACCCTAGCCGGTTTGGCTCAGTGGATAGAGCGGGGGTCCTGCAGACTGAAGGGTCCCGGGTTCGATTTCTATCAAGGAACATGGTCCGGGCTCGTGCAGGAGGCAACCAATCAATGTGTTTTCCTCACATCTATATTTCTGTCTTTCCCTCTTTCTTCCAGTCTTTCTGAAAATAAATGGAAAATGTTCTTGGGTGAGGATTAAAAAAAAAAATATTTCATGCCCAGGCAGAGAATTAATTTATATGCATATATGGTAATCCATGGACACACACAATACTGGGGTGAAAGCCTGAGGGGGAGCAGGACCAGGTTGAGGGGGGCAATGGAAGAAAACGAGGGATATCTGTCATACCATCAATAATAAAGACAAATAAATTTTAAAAATACTCAATGAATGCAACAGAGAAGTCAGAAACGGAGAAGGGAGAACAAAAATATGTGAGACAAATAGTAAGATGGTAAATTAAAACCAATCAACTGCATTAAATGTAAAAAGGTTAAATGACCCAGTTAAAAGACAGAGATTAATAGATTTAATAAAACTCCAATATGAAAAAAAAAACCTATTTTGTGCATCTTTTTGATGATTAGTGACACTGAGCATTTTTTCTTATGCTTATTGGCCTTCTGTATGTCCACTATGGAAACATATCTATTCAGATCCTTTGCCCATTTTTTAATTGGACTGTTTGTCTTCCTGGTGTTGTGTTAGTTCTATGAATTCTTTATATATTTTGGAAATTAACCACTTATCAGATATATCATTGCTGAATATGTTGTCCCATAAATGGATTCCCTTTTCATTTGGTTGATGGCTTCTTTGGCTGTGAAGAAGCTTTTTAGTTTGATGTAGTCCCATTTGTTATTTTTTCCTTTGTTTCTCTTGCCCTAGGAGATGTATTGCTGAAAAAACTGCTATATGAGATTTTGCTGCCTATGTTTTCTTCTACGATTTTTATGGTTTTACCCATTTTTAAAAATTTTATTGTTCAAGGTACAAATAGTAGTACATATGTCTCTCCCCCCGCCCCCCCCACTGACTTCCCTTGGCCTCCCCTACCCCCGCCCCGCCCCGCCCCGCCCCCCCCCGCCCCCGCCCCCCCCCCCCCCCCCCCCCCCCCGCCCTAGCCCTCTTCCCCTCGCCACCAGTGTTTTGAGTGTTGGTTCTGCTTATATGCATGCATACTAGTCCTTCGGTTGATCTCTTACCAACCGTCCCCCCCTTCCTCCTCTAACTTCCTGCTGTAGTTTAACAGTGTTTTTGATGCTTCTTGGTTTTATCCATTTTGAATATATTATTTTTAAATTATTTGTTTAATTTTTTATTGATTAAGGTTTTGCATATGTGTCCTTATCCCCCAATTAGATTTTTGAATATATTCTTGTGTATGGTGTAAGTTGGTGGTCTAATTTCAAAAAAATTTTTTTGCATGTGCTTGTGCAATTTTCCCAGCACCATTTATTTATTTTATTTTTTAAATTTAAATTTATTTATTGATTAAGGTGTTACATATGTGTCCTTATTCCCCCATCACCCCCCAAGCCCCCCACTTATGCCCTTACTTCCCTGTTGTCTGTGTCCATTGGTTAGGCTTATATGCATGTATACAAGTCCTTTGGTTGCTCTCTCCCCCTTACCCTCACCCTCCCCTACCTTCCCTCTGAGGTTTGATGGTCTGATCAATGTTTCTCTGTCTCTAGACTCTTTTTGTTCATCAGTTTATGTTGTTCATTATATTACATAAATGAGTGAGATCATGTGATATTTATCTTTCTCTGGCTGGTTTGTTTCACTTAGCATAATGCTGTCCAGTTCCATCCATGCTGTTGCAAATGGTAGGAATTCATTCTTTTTTAGCGCAGCATAGTATTTCATTGTCCAGCACCATTTATTGAAGAGACTTCCTTGCTTCCTTTGTCAAATATTAACTTTCCATATTGGCAAGGGTTGATTTCTGGGTCCTCTGTTCTGTTCCATTCATCTATATACTTGTTTTTGTGCCAGTAGTAGGCTGTTTTGATTATAATGGTTTTGCTCTAGGATTTTTATGGTTTTATCCATTTTTAAAAAATTTTATTAAGGTATTACAAAGAGTAGTACATATGTTTCTTTTCCCCCCGCTGACCTCCCCCTGGCCTCCCCTAGTTGATATCCAGTATTGTGATCTTTTCAGCTTTGTTCTTCTTTCTCATTGTTGCTGAGGCTATTCGGGTTTTGGAGTATTTGTTCTAGATCTGCGAAATATGCTGCTGGTATTTTAATAGGGACTGTGTTGAATCTATAAATTGCTTTGGGTAGCGTGCACAGTTTAATGATGTTAATTCTTCCAACCCATGAGCACGATATATGCTTTCTCTTGTTTGTGTCTACTGTCCTTTAGCTGAGATCCACGTCCTCTGGCATTCATCTCCAGCTCGCTCTGTGAAGAGCCTCTGAGCTCCGCTACAGTCAGCCAGCCCACCCCACTGCTCAATTTCATTTCTGGGGTACGACGAGGATTGTATCTTGTAAGTTTGTTGATTTTTTAAAAATGTTCCTTGAAATCTACAAATAGAACAGCGGAGGGGAGGTGCTCTAGGCCTCTGCTGGGCGGCGCACAGGGCAGTGGGGTGGGCTGTGTAGCACAAACATGATTCTCTTCCCTTTGACCCCGAACAAAGACCCATTGCCACATCCTGCACACTTTTGATCAGTCACTTTTCCCCACCCTTCAGATCCTCAATGCTGTCGATGGCGCTGACCATCCTGCGGGACTGGTGTGGCCTGATGGCCGTGAACGCACAGCGTTCTCTGCTCATCCTGGGCATCCCAGAGGACTGTGAGGAGGAGGAATTCCAGGAGGCGGTGGGGGCTGCACTGAGCCCCCTGGGCAGGTACCGAGTGCTGGGCAAGATCTTCAGAAGGGAGCTCCGGTCTAGAGTGGCCTTGGTTGAGTTCACTGAGTATTTAAACAGAAGTTTGATCCCCCGACAAATTCCAGGCAGGGGGGGACCCTGGACTGTGGTCTTCCTGCCCCAGGTTCCTGACGCTGACTCACAGGATAGACCAGATTTCCCTGCACAGCCCCCGAGGCCAGCAGTGGCTGGCAGGGCAGATGGGGCAAGAGCTGCAGTTGAGGAAGGAGATGCAGGCGAGGAAGGAGCTGCAGGTGAGGGAGAAGCTGCAGGCGAGGAAGGAGCTGCAGGTGATAAAGAAATTGCAGGCGAGGAAGGAGCTGCAGGTGATAAAGAAATTGCAGGCGAGGAAGGAGCTGCAGGTGATAAAGAAATTGCAGGCGAGGAAGGAGCTGCAGGTGAGGATGTGGCTGCACATGAGAATGTAGCTGTAGGTGAGGATGTGGCTGCACGTGAGGATGTAGCTTCAGGTGAGGATATGGCTGTATATGAGGATGCAGCTGTAGGTGAGGATATACTTGCAGGTGACGACATGGATGTACATGAGGATATACCTGCAGGTGAGGATGTAGCTGTAGATGAGGGTATACCTGCAGGTGAGCATGTAGTTTCATGTGCGGAAATGGCTGCACGAGAGGATGTAGCTGCTGGGGAGGTTAGATATGCAGGTCATGATATAGCTGTAGGTGAGGATATAGCTATCGGTGAGCTAGGAGATGACGATGAAGAGGAAGAATCAGATGAAGAAGGAGCTTCAGGTGACACAGGAATTGCAGGCATGGCAGGATCTGTGAGTATGGCAGGAGCCGCAGGCGAGGCAGGGTCTTCAGATGAGGAAGCTGTAGGCATGGCAGGAGCCCCAGGACAGGCAGGAGCCTGGAATGAGCAATGGAGGCAGGCCCTGCAGCCTCTGCTGGAAAATATGGCCTACCAGGAACTGAGATCCTTTTCGGGCATGGAAGAGCCAGGCCACGAGCAGGAGTCCTTCGAGAATTGGCTGGACCACGCCAACGACATGCTGTACCTGTGGCGCCACATATCGGAAAGGGAGCGGCGGCGGCGGCTGGTAGAGAGCCTGCAAGGGCCCGCGCTGGATCTCGTGAGTAGACTCATAGATGAAAATCCCGACATTGCCGTGCAAGACTGCCTGGCGACCCTGATTCAGGTGTTCGGGAACAAGGACACTCGAACAACCGCGAGACTGAGATTCATGACTTGTGCCCAGCGGCCCCAGGAAACTCTCTTTGCCTACGTGATGCGCCTGGAAGGCCTGCTGCAGGCGGCCCTGGAGAAGGGGGCCATCCAACCCTCCACTGCAGACCAGGTGCGTGCCAGGCAGGTGCTGATGCGGGCCCGTCCCAACGAGACACTCTGGAACAAGCTGAGAAGAATGCGCCTGGAAAGGAGACCACCTGGCTTCCTGGGGATGCTCCGGCTCATTCGGGAGTCAGAGGCATGGGAGGCCACTCCAACTACTAGCCGGCAGCAGTTTCCAATGGAAGAAGGGTCCTGGATAGACATTGGAGATTTGTCTGCTTCCGAGGCCGCTCTATCCTGTGAAGATGCTCAGGCCGCTCGAGCCTGTGAAGAAGCCCATGCTGCTCTAGCCCGGGGAGGTGCCCATGTCTGTCCAGTCTGTGGACGTGCCCCGGGCGCTGTAGCCTATGGAGGTGACCAGTACTTTCTAGCCTATGAAGAGGCCGAGGCCGCTCTTGCCCGTGAACGTGCCCAGATCGTTCTAGCCTGCGAACGTGCCCAGGCCGCTCGAGCCCGTGAAGATGCCCAGGCCTCTCTAGCCCGTGAAGGTGCCCAGGCGCCTCTAGCCGGTGAATATGTCCATACCTGTGTAGCCTGTGAACTTGCCCACGCCGCTGTAATCCGTGAACGTGCCCAGGCCTCTCTAGCCTGTGAAGACGACCAGGACTCTGTAGCTTTTGAAGATGTTAGCCAGGCCTCTGCAGATGCCTCCCTGGCTGACATTCTCGAGGAAGATGCAGTGGCCATTGAGACGGATCCTGCCACTGCCGATCCTGATGAGGCTGCTCCTGAAACCGGTGATGACACCGGGGCAGACCCTGCCCCCGAGGCCTCCCTTGCCGTTCAGGGAGATGAGAATGTTCTGGCTCCTGCAGGTCTAGGTCAGGCAGGGCCCTCCCTTGCCCACATGGGCATTGCTTTGGGGGTGGGCTCAGGCGGTCCTGGCTTTGACCCAGAGGGCCTGCTCCAGGAAGAAGATGAGGAGGCTGAGAAGCCTCGCCAGGAGGGGCTCATGCCCATCCCAGAGGAGTCAGGAAGTGAGGACGGGTCTGGGGAGATGAGTTCCCCCGAGCCCTCCTTCGAGTAAGCGTGGAGGGCCCGGTGGCCTCCTGTTCTCTGGGGCAGCAGAGCCCTGGAGGCAGGGGAAGGCCACCTCACCCCTCATGGGGAGCAAGGCCCAGGGAAGGGTCTGCCTTGCCCCCTGGCCTCCCCACTACTCCCAAGGGGCCCTGACCACCACCACCAGCCCTTCCAAGTCACCAAGATGACCATTTGTGATACCAAAGAGACGGGGAGAGGTGCCCCCGCATAGTATTACCACATCCAGCCCCAAACCTTGCCCACTTTGACACCTCTGGGCAGCCATCCCAGTCCAAGTAAGGGGCACTGAATACGTCTGACACCTGCCCTGGACTGGGAAATGTTAGGAACCATTAAAAGGGTGCTAGCCTCTGGTACCCCCATCTGCCATCCCCCAGGCAGCCCTCACCCTGTTTCTCTGTAGGCTCTATAGTGACCCCCCCAACACACACACCAGTCATGGTGCCTGTGCCAAATCACCAGGTGTGTGTCAACCCAGGTGGATGTCCTGGCCTACCTCCTGGGGCGGCCACCTCTCAGCCCCGGCACGTGTTGTGAGCCCCACTGCCAGCCACGGCTCTGCCAGCTCTCGTCCAGTGTCGTGAGCTCAGCCTCTGCTTTCTCGATGTAGATTTAAGCCAACCGCTGCTTGTGCTTGTGGAAATGTGTGTGTTCTTCTCTGAGCAGTTTTCTCCCTCCCCACCGCCAACATCACCCACCTCGGAGACCCTGTGCCCAGGCCCAGGAGAAGGCGGGAAGGATCGGCGAAGGTCTGACCAGTGCTCATCCAGTGACCCCTGGAAGAAGCGAACCAGGGAGTGAAGGCGGCTGCTGGAGGCTCCACGGACACTGCGCTCTGATTCTTTGTGACTCAGTTTCCTCAGCATAGTGGAGTGTCCCTTGCTGTGTTTCGCAGTGTCCTGTGTCTGTCCTGTGCTGGTCATAGGGCAGACCTAGGCCCCAGCATGTCATCCAGAGGAGGGAGGGAGCCCTGCAGTGAGTGGACAACACCAGTGTCCATTATCCTGCAAAGACCGATCCATCGTGGGGCCCTCAGGGAGGGAGACTGTGGTGGGAGGGCCGTGTATGGGAGAAGCTGAGGTACCTCATCCGGGACATCAGGAGGAGGGCATGTGAACTATGTACTCTAGTGGCTGTTCGAAGTTCCCCTTTGTTATCATCCTCTTTATTCAATGGTTTCAACAAATATTTCTTTTTTTCAATAAATGTTGTTCAAACTTTCATCTGAGTTTTGCTGAGGGCAGTGAGGGAAGGGTCTGCTGGGGGTGGGCTTGGGGGCCAGGAAAGGATTCCTGCTGAGCACCCTTGGGGAAACCCAGGGAGAGGAGAGGGTGGGTACTTAGACTGTCAGCCTGGGACAGTGGTCGGCAAACTTGTTAGTCAACAGTACAACGATTGAAATTTCTTTTTTGAGAGGCAATTTTTTAATTTTATTTTATTTTTTAAAATATATTTTATTGATTTTATACAGAGAGGAAGGGAGAGAGTTAGAAACATCGATGAGAGAGAGTCATCCATCAGCTGCCTCTTGCACACCCCCTACTGGGGATATGCCCGCAACCAAGGTACATGCCCTTGACCGGAATCGAACCCGGGACCCTTCAGTCCTCAAGCTGACACTCTATCCATTGAGCCAAACCGGTCCCGGCGAGAGGCAAATTTTTTAAACTTAAACTTCTAACGCCACTTCTTCAGAATAGACTCACCCAGGCAGTGGTATTTTGTGGAAGAGCCACACTCAAGGGGCCAAAGAGCCACATGTGGCTCAAGAGCCGCAGTTTGCCGACCACAGGCCTAGGGTGAATTATAAAGTTTTGGGTTTCTACCCACTCGTCCTTGTCTTGGGATAGTCCTGACCCCTTCGTCTGTTGAAAATGGGTACGAGAGGGAAGGAGCCACTGGCCTCGAGTGCCTGGGATTCAGGGCTGCTAAGGAAGTGTGTGTGATGTGTGAGGTAGGGCCACGGAATGAAGAACTCATTCCCCATAGCATACTTGCTGAGAAACCAGGATTAGACTGCTAAGACTTTTGTAAACGCCCCAAGTGCATTTTAATTTGTACTATCCTAAAATGTGAAAATATCACCACGGAACAAAAATGATGGCACTTACTGAGCAACTCGGAAACTCTAGACACCTTTGAGGTTTCTGGGAGAGGGGGTACTACCTTATCCATAGCACTTACACCTGCAAAAAGACTTGCTCTGCCCGGCTGGTGTGGCTCAGTGGTTGAGCATTGACCTATGAACCAGGAGGTCACAGGTTCAATTTCTGGTCAGGGCACATGTGGGTTGTGGGTTTGATCCCCAGTGGGGGATGTGCAGGAGGCAGCTGATTAATGATTCTCATTTAAAAAAATATATTTTATTGACTTTTTTACAGAGAGGAAGCTAGAAACATCGAGAGAGAAACATCGACCAGCTGCCTCCTGCACACCCCCCACCGGGGATATGCCTATAACCAATGTACATGCCCTTGACCGGAATTGGACCTGGGACCTTTTAGTCTGCAGACCGATGCTCTATGCACTGAGCCAAAAAAGGTTTCGGCACTCTCATCATTGATACTTCTATCTCTCCCTTCCTGAAAAAAAAAAAATATATATATATATAATATATATATATATATATATATATATATATATATATATATATATATATATATATAATTTTTTTAAAAGAATTGCTCCCAAGGACAAGAAAAGACTAGGTTACTGAGCTGCATAGTGGAGGGTACCCGGGAAAGGCTGCTCTCTGAAGGGGCAACATTCAGGGGAGGGAGGTCAGGGTTCATGTTAAAGGCAGTGGGAAGCTGCTGGAACATTTAGGCGTGCCCAGTGGACACTCCTTCCTTCTGGCTCCAGAAGTTGCCACTTTATGAGGTTGAGCCCCACCTCCCATGAGAGGAGCAGAAAAGGCTGGGTCTGTGTTCTCCCATCTTTTCTTGCAGCTAGGATGTGGGCACGTGACCAGGTAGGTCAATCAAATGCACTTGCTGCCCACTGGATCTGGGCCCAGAGAGAGGAAGAGGCAGGACCTGGGTGGTGACTGACAGCAGGGGCAGTGAGGCTTGTTACCTGGGGAGCAGTGATAGCCATGGTTCTCCTGGCAGCACCCGAGTCCCACATTGGCGATGCAAAGCACAGTGTCTGTGTGTGTGTGCCAGTCAGGGGAGGGAGCCTGCCCAGCATTTTGCCATGATGCAGACCCTGTTCTCTAAGCCTGGCTCTCCAGCGTCCCTGAACACCCACGAGCCACCCGCCATCCTTCAGCTGATTTCCCTCTGAGCTTTCAGCAGCCACAGTGAGATGTGATGGCTAAAGATTGGGGCGGTACAGAGCGTCCCAGTAACACCTGCCAAAAGAACACATTCATACACATAAGCCCCCCCCCCCCACCCATACACATAAGCCACATATACACACATGCACGCATACATAAGCCACACACACACATACACATAAGCCACACACACACACATGCATACAAATAAACCCCCCCCCCCCCATACACATAAGCCTGGGTTTCGGGAATGCAGTGCCTAGTGCCTGCAGGGCAGGTCTGAGGGAAAGCAGGTCCCAGGAATGTCAGATGTGGGGCCCTCGGGGGACAGGGTCAGGGTGGGTAGGACTTTGCTGTTTTCTCTTGGGACTGGGTTGGAGGGGTAGCTCATCTGGTGGAGAGAGGGGAGCTCCCACCTGGAGTGAGCAGCAGGGTACACCGTCTGCCTGAGAAGTCATCCCAGGCACAGATAAAGTTGGTCCCGACCTGCAGACTCCTGTGGGCTGGGTGCTCCCGGTCAGGGGGAGAGAGGAACCTGTGAGAGGGAAGGGGAGGCCCTGGGATAGGGGAAGGGTGGGTCAGGACAAAGCTTCAGTATGTGTGTGTATGTGTGTGCATGTGTGTGCGTGTGCGTGTGTGTCTTATGTGTATGCATGTGTGTGTGTCTTAACGTGTATGGGTGTGTGTAGCTTATGTGTATGCCTAAGTGTGTGTGTATGTGTCTTATGTGTATGGGTGTTTGTGTGTGGGGGTTTATGTGTATGCTTAAGTGTGTGTCTTAACGTGTACGGGTGTGTGGGTTTATGTGTATGCATATGTGTGTGTGTGTGGCTTATATGTGTGTGTGTGTGTGCGTGTGGCTTATGTGTATGGGTGTGTGTGTAGGGAGCTTATGTGTATGCATATGTGTGTGTAGCTTATGTGTGTGTGTGTGTGTGTGTGTGTAGCTTATGTGTATGCCTAAGTGTGTGTGTGTAGCTTATGTGTATATGTGTGTGTGTGTGTGGCTTATGTGTATGGGTGTGTGTGTAGGGAGCTTATGTGTATGCATATGTGTGTAGCTTATGTGTGTGTGTGTGGCTTATGTATATGCATGTGTGTGTCTTAACGTGTATGGGTGTGTGGGGTTTATGTGTATGTATGTGTGTGGCTTATGTGTATGGCTGTGTGTGTGTGTAGCTTATGTGTATGTGTGTGTGTGTGTGTGTGTGGCTTATGTGTATGTGTGTGTGTGTGTGTGGCTTATGTGTGTGTGTGTGTGTGTGTGTAGCTTATGTGTATGCCTAAGTGTGTGTATGTGGCTTATGTGTATGTGTGTGTGTGTGTGTGTGTGGCTTATGTGTATGGGTGTGTGTGTAGAGAGCTTATGTGTATGCATATGTGTGTGTGGCTTATGTGTATGTGTATGTGGGGGACTTATATGTATGCATGTGTGCGTATGTGGCTTGTGTGTGTGTGTGTGTGTGTGTGTGTGGCTTATGTATATGTATGAATGTGTATGTTAGAGAGGAAGTTGGGCAAGGTGGTTTCTCTCTCAGTCTGTATCTCCTCTGATCAGAGCTTGAGACCCCCAGGAGTTTCCTTCTTCCCCATGAACTGAGGAAGAGCATATACCCTGACGCTGACCAACTCAGGGGGCCGAGCAGACTGGTTGCTGGGGGAGCCCCTGTCCCGATTTTTCGCCTTGTCCCCACTCCCCGAAGCTTATGTCCCAGATGGGATGGTCAGGGACGTCCAACAGGCCTTGACAGTGCCTTTCACCTTTCCTTCTCATTCTTCCTCTTGTGTCCTCCTTCCTGCTTGCAGCCCAAGTGCATGTCACTCTAGGCCCTCCCTGTCCCTGCCTGTAGCCCAGGGCAGCTGGCAGAGCCCCGAGGAGTGGGAACCCTTCCACCCCACTTGCCACATCTTTTCCAGCCCGTGGGACCAGATTCCCGGCTGGCACAGGGA